CTGCTTACAAGGAACATCATAGTTGTGAAACAGCGCTTCTACGTGTTAAAAATGATATTCTGAAATCACTCGATGATAAACAATGTGTTGTTCTCTTGCTGCTAGACCTATCTGCAGCCTTCGACACTGTCGACCATAGGATTTTATTACACAGACTGCGTTCCAGGTTTGGTATAAAAGGTAAAGCACTTTCGTGGCTTCAGTCTTATCTTACGGATCGTTCCCAGTTTGTTCAGATTGATACTGAAAAGGATAGGCGCTATATACATATTTTATTATTATTATATTATAAAGTTAGTCGACGAGTCGGTTAACCAGTCAGTCACCAGTCAATCAACCCTATACTTTGGAACGATCTAGATCAATCGACGATGTAAACAAGTTCAAATCTAGATAGAAGACATTTCTTTTTAAGCAAGTTTATGAGCTATCCTAGGTTCTCCATTCTGTAATTATGTTATGTATAAATATATATATATGTATACGATTTTATTCGTTTTTGAAGCATTGCAAAGCGCTTAGCACTGAAAAGGATAGGCGCTATATATATATTTTATTATTATTATACTATGAAGTTAGTCCACCAGTCGGTTAACCAGTCAGTCACCAGTCAATCCACCAGTTAATCAAGCGGTAAGTCATCCAGTTACTGAACCAGTCGAGGGGCCAGTCAGGTATCATTGAGACAGTCAGTAAGTCAGTAAGCCGGTGTAGACCTAGTCAGCTAAACGGTCAGTCACCAGTCAGCTACAGAGTCAGTAACAAGTCGGTCACCCAGTCAGTCAACCAGTCAGAGAGGCACTCAGGTAACAATGACTCCGTTAACCAGTAAGTCTTTGGCCACTCATTACCCATTAACTAGGTCACTCAGCCAGTCTGTCAACCGGTCAGTTAGTCTGTCCACCAGTCAGTAAACCAGGCAGTCAGCGCTTCAGATCCCACTTAGTCGATCATTCAGTCGCTAACCAGTCAGTCAGCTAGTTAATCACCAGCCAGTTAGACAGTCAGTTGGAAGTCGGTAGGCAATGCAGTGAACCAGTCAGGTAACAGGAACTTACCTTCGCTCCGACGAAGGGCTAACGCTCGAAACGTCAGCTTTTGTAATCATTACGGTGGCCAATTTACCATTTCAACTTTGTTGATATATCCAAATTATCACGTTCTACCACGTTGACCCTCACCTACCCTAGGTAACCCATGTTCTACCACGTTTACCCCCATCTACCCTTGGTTAGCCATGTTCTACTACGTTTTCCCCCATCTACCCTGGGTAACCCATGTTCTACCACGTTTACCCCCGTTTATCCTAGATTAGCGATGTTCTACCACGATAACCCTCATATATCCTAGGTAACCCATCTTTTTTCACGTTCACCCCATTTTCCTAAGTTTCAAGCCGTGTGAGACCTCGTAGGAATGATGGCTTATTACTAATCGCAACCAAAAAAAAACATGGATTAAGAGGCGTATTGAAGAACAAGTTGACGGCCTATAAAAGTCACTTGGAATGTAGAAAAGGCTGAGGGGATGAGAACTCCTATCGTCGACAGGAACTCTGCAACTGCGCGGAACATGGACAAATTGTTATTCGTTTTTGTTTACAAGTGTAATAAAAGCTATAAATCTAACTGATGTTGAGCTATCTGTGGAAAACATTTCCTTGTTATACACTTTTGTAATTAGGTCAAAATCATCATGACCACGTGGACAAAAGCCCTTTAATCTTTCATCTGGATAAGCTGCACAGATAGCTGCCGAGTTGGCGCACAAAAAAAAAAAATCAGTGTACACTCGTCTCAGTTCGGACTAACATAATAAGTGCACTGCTCGATTCTTTTTCCGCTACGATGCCTATATCGCCTGCGTTCGGCTCAGTTATAATCTTAAGAATGACCCCCTCGCACCACTTCAACTTGTTTAACTTTTGAAAATTGTGAAAAGAAGCGTTAAGTAGCGCTTCCAAAGTAGATTGAAAATCACTTTACATTTTCCTTTATTTTCCTCTGAATGGAAGAGAAGATAAAAGCCATGAGCAACCCTTCTAAAGCTGTACTTTATGCATGCTGTTCCCATAGACTTAATGCTATCTTTTTCACCCTGTACATCTCCGTTGCTTCTTTCTCTTCAGTATAACATCGCTCGTTTATCGTTTTATCTTGTAAAAACTTATTGAAGTAATAATTTGCCTTGAGTGTAATAAGTTTCAGGTCATTTAAGATTTGATAGACAATATAAGGGACTAGAAATTCGATTGATAACGCACTTACAAAAGAATTGATCAATTATTTCTTAAGGGGAAAAGATGCCTAACTAAATTGCATTTCACAAAAGTTTAGATCAGAAACCTCGGGAAGGGTGACGGGATTCTTAACGATAACAAAAGTCCCACTTCGAGCATTTATGCAGTTAGTTAGTTTACCCGAGAGAGAAACGCCCCTGGTATCACGACTAAGTAAAGTTACAAAGTAAAGTAATGCAAGTTTTTATTATTTAAGTTACTGTTTCTAAGTGAAGTCAATGGAAGAAGGTTTGGAGTGATATCTCTTAGGAAAATCCAATCACCTAAAAGTATGACCTAGTACAACAAAACTATTTAACTACGGGTCACTATTATAAGCCAGCCAGATCTGTTTTTCATTTTACAGAGGACATTTCACCACCAATCAGAACTGTAAACCAGATTGATCATCTCTCAGGCGGTACTGTATGTTCTGGTAAATTTTTTGTAATTGTTAAAAAAAAAAACCATGGATTTACAGGCGTATTGAACATCAAATCGACGGCTTACTAGTACAATATTTTGCGAAACGAAACGAAACGAAACCAGGCGAGGTGTTACCAAATTAAAAGAATAATGCAGATATATTTTCTAATAAGTTAAAGGTAACTTTCACGAGGATTTTGGAGAAATCTTCAATTAATGAGAAGGATTTTTATTCATTTTGCAAAGTAGTAAGATAAGAAGAGTTACTATTTTTTGAAATCAACTATTTTCACCCTGCGGAGAAAACTTGACGCCTTTCATGTCACAAAAGTACATTTAACCATTTCAAACCAGTATTTGACCGAGGACTTTTACCTTCTTTTATTTCTTAAATCGTATTTAAGTAAATGCGAAATGGACCATTTTCACCATTCAATAACAATGTTTTTCTATTCAGGTCGCAAAAATACGTTAAAAAGTCACTAACCGAGGGCAAATATGCTATTTTAAAAAACATCAAATATCCAAGGGCAACTATCAGACCGATAAACACTCTATTGTCTTTATTGTTCACCACTAAATATTCTTCTTCGTGCTAGTTGAAAAACAGCCAAAACCCACTAATCCATATCAATCAAATATTTATTCATGCGTACAGCTTGTCACAAATGTCAGTGATTCAGCAGAAAATCGGTTACCTAGGGTAGATGAGGGTTAACGTGGTAGAATATAGGTTAACCAGGGTAGATGAAAGTGAATGTGGTAGAACATGGGTTACCTAGGATAGACGGGAGTAAACGTGGTAGAACATGGGTTACCTAGGGTAGATGAGGGCGAACATAGTAGCATATGTTTAACCAAGGGTAGGTGGGGGTAAACGTGTTAGAACATGGGTTACCTAGAGTAGACGGGAAAAAACGTGAGAGAACATGGGTTACCTAGGGTAGATATGGTTGAACGTGGTAGAACATGATTAACCAAGGGTAGATGGGGGTAAACTAAGTAGAACATGAGTAAATGAGGGTAAATGAGGGTGAACGTGGTAGAACATGGTTAATCAAAGGTAGATGGGGGTAAACTGGGTAGAACATAAGTAAATGAGAGTAGATGGGGGTGAACGTGATAGAAAATGGCTAACCTTGGTTACTTCACTTTCATCTACCCTAGTTAACCTATATTCTACCACGTTAACCCTCATCTACCCTAGAAAACCGATTTTCTACTGAATTAATGACATTTGTGACAAGCTGTACGCATGAATAAATATTTTATTGATATGAACAATCTATTTTGACCGAAATCCTTCACCAAAGAAGAGACGAACCTGTGCGAGAGAAATGCAACTTTGTTTACGATTTGACTCAAGAGGACGAAGATTTCCTGCAAAATCTGCCTTTCACGATAAGTGTTCCTTCATTCAATGTTCTGGTGGTTCATGGCGGACTACTGCCAGGGATACCTATTGAACAACAAGATCCTTTGGGTATGATGTTCATCAGAAACTACATCCCAGAGAAGTTCAAGGAACAGCAGGAATCGAGGAGGGCTTGCCATGGGCGTCAACGTGGAACGGTCCTCAGCATGTAGTATTTGGACACGATGCTCGCCGAGGTGTCCAGCAGTATAAATATGCTACTGGGATTGACTCTGGATGTGTATATGGAAATTATCTGACTGGCATCTTGATAGAAGACGGAGTCTGGGATAACAGGAAATTAGTACAAGTCAAAGCAAGGAAAAAGTGTACTCTAAAAGAGAGTTGACTGTTGTCGTGCTTTACTGTTAAGATGGAAAGAATGACGTTCTATTTTTGAGAACTTCAGTCGATTTAAGTATTCATTAGTATGACGGTAAATTTTTACAACAAAAATTAAATTTTACCCTAACACTTTTCAAGATTCACATATTGATGCAATAGTTTGAAAAGACCCCAAACTTTTAGCCTGTGGAGCTGGCATAATTTTGGCATGCAATTACTCACCTTTTTCTTGGTGAAAATTATAGCTGCCATCTTTGATATTTTATGACAGCAGGCTGTTGTTGTTTTGGAATTACTCTCTGCCTGCATCAGATGTAACTGCAATCATTTCTCTAACCCAGATAATTCCTAATTTGCACCTTTGTAATGAACTTTTCAAGAAATGATTTTACTCCATAGACACACAGACTTATTTGGTTGGATAATTCAGCATTACAGAATGGTTAACAATCTTTTTCTTGAGAACACAACGCCAGGGGTTACAAGTCCAATCATTATTACGGCTGCATTGAACTTGGACAGTCAGACAAAACCAACTCTAGTGAGGTAAATATTTATTTCAGCACAGTTGGCACACACCTTAATGTGAAAAATTGAAGACTGTCTTCCTGATTCAAATCTATGAATAACGTCACAGAGCAAGAGAGCAACTGTTAACATTGTGCCCCAAATTCTTCAAATATCTTTTCCACAACCTTTTCTTTTCTATCCATACAGCCTTAAAAATTAATTTTAAAAAATGAATTGAAATATTTACACTGCACATGAATCACTCTTTACTCTCACTTCCATTTAAATTCCAAGAAAAAATTATATAGAAAATGGTCAGCAAAATCCATAAGGATATCTTTCCCAAGTCAAATTTCTTTATCTGTTGGTAAATTATGATAAATATTATCTCAATATTTTTATACAAAAAAGAATAGAGAAAAAGCTTAACTGAATAGAATAAGCGACCTTTATATAATAGACTTGCAGTAAGCTGTATTAATTGAATAATCAGCACTATCTCTTTAGTCTGTTAACACCTATTAACCTGGCATAGTTATTTCATGAAATCACTGATCTTCAAAAATGGATGTTTAATCCACCTTAATCGATGTTTATAGATCAATTAACAAAAGCAATCAAGGAGTGTTCATTTAAAAAAATAGGCATGATTTTTATCAACCTATAATTAATGATCACTAAATGCTGATATTTTGTAATTTCATCAATTATTAGAAATTTAATATAAGTCATTAACATCAAAATTATCAATAGTTATGCAAGGAAACCTTGCAATAAAAAATTTTGGCCTGCAATCAAGCTGAATTAACTGATAATTTTTCATTTGTACCCCAATCCTTATCACCTTGCTTTGCTTAACAATTTACTAAATGAACTGTGGATTATGAAGGTAAAACAATTATGATCTGCATTTTTTTTTTGTTGCTTTAAGGTTTAGAATCCATACATTTCATTAAAAAATGTGTTTCGACAGCAATCTAACTGATCCTCTTATACAATAAGTCAAGCAATGACACTGTACAGAACTTTGAGATAACTTAAGAATATATAAATATGCAAAACAAGAAATATGTCTAATGTTCAAAAGATAATATTTTATACCTAATCTTAAGGCTACTCCTTGCTAAAAGGGTATAATATTAAACAGCTTTCAAGGGCTGCACCAAAGACACCATTTACTGGATGGTTCTGATAAAAAAAAATAAGATTTTATACAGTACCCATGGAAAAATTCTCAATCAATCTCTACGTTTCTTAAACCAAGATTGACAGTGCTGGATTCCAAGACCAGGACAAAGGAAATTACTCCAATGTCAACTATTTTTTAAGTCACCAATTACCAACCTAACCTAACATTATAAAACTGTCCCCAGAATAAAAAATTCCTTGCTTGTATACCTCTCTCTACTTGTAAGTCTTCTGCTTGAATATGTATGGATTTTACAAAGAGAAATTCCTTTTTGACCACTCATGGAAATGAAAGGGTAACATATAGCATAACCTGCCAGTTTACACTTTATGTTAAATATGAATTTACCAGACCAGTACTCTCTAAAATTATGGCATCTATAGAGATTCTTCATGACAACACACATTGGAACATTTATATTACTGTCATGAAAGCAGATTTGATGATAGGAACTCTTGCATGATGGTACGGAGCATTTTGTACAACAAGCAGATCTCTGACATGTGTGTTTGGTAGCAAGATCTGCTCATATTTACTTTATGGCACAACTCAGCTCTCTAAGATGAAACTGCCTCAAAACACCTTTCCAGCAGATAGTAACTAAAGTGTACTGTAGCCTTGGTGCACTCTTCACAGTGGGGTCGTAGTGATACCTTTGTTATTTTGATCATGAGGACTTTTATCCAAATCAGGAATGGCCAGATTGCCCGTCTCTTCCTCAGGTTCATTTTTACAAGAAGAACAACAGTTCAACTGTCCAAAATCATCCTTTGGACCAATCACAGAGCATATGGACAAGAAGCCAAAAGTTGAAAAAAGCCAACTGAAGACCATAACTAACATCAAGAATTGTCCCAGCTGAAAGTACACCAAGACAGAGGCTTGCATCATCATCAAACCTAAATCAAACAAAAGTGCAATTTATTAGACTGCAATTTATTCACCTACCAGTCTGCTCAGAATATGAACTTGTTGATTGAGTTAGGTCAGGCCAGAGCACAAAATATTTTGCTCAATTTTAAGAACTCAAGTCAAATATTTTCCAGTCCAACCTCATGCAACTCAATTGGTTAGTACTTTAGATAATGATGCTCTTGCTATTTCTTCTTCTTTTCTTGCTCTTTTTTTAATTCCAATTTTTATAATGTTTTGGCTTGAAGATAAAGAGGACTATATAGGTCATACAGTAAAACAAAGAACTTCTACTTTAGGATTTATCCTCTAAGACAATGATCATAACTAGGAATTGCCTACCTGTTAAGAATGTTGTAAGAGCAGCCATCGTGATGGCTGATCCAATGTGCTTCAGAGAGTAACGCACTCTGGTATCTCTCTGACTTTTGTCTGGTGCAAGTCTGTAAGCCACCCCATAATGCATTGTGAAGTCAATAGACAGACCCGCTGCCACTGACACCACAATAGACTCCAAGATATTCAACTGCCAGCCGGCCAGCACAAGACACCCAATGGTTATGGAAATAATTCCAATGATGGTGATGATTGCATAGATGCTGATGAAGATGTTGAGGGTTGTAAGCAGCATGACTCCAAATGATACAGCAACAGAGATTCCCAATGAAGAGTACGTGCCTTCCGACAGTCCCATCTGAAGAGCATAGAGGTCTAGATTCCTGCATCCAACCCAACCCTTATCCAATCCTGTTGGAGCTTTAGCCATTTCTTTGTCAAACCAAGATGTCACGCTCTTCCAGAAGTCATCCATAGCAGTAAAGCTGGTGGTAAATGATTGATCTGAGATTATTAGGAAATGAAAACCAACCATTTTCCCCTGTTGGTCAAACAAAACACCTGTGTTGCGCAAGAATGAAGCCAGTCTCAAACAGTCCTCTGCAGTATCGGCTGGAAATGGAAAAGAAGCATTGACCCCACAACATGCCGTTCCTGGTGAGGTACAAGTTTTAATGGATACTTCTATAGGGCACATATCAAAGAAAGGGAAAGCGGCAAAAAATGGTTGGTCTTCAATGGACTCACATAAGGAACGAAGGAACTTTTGACCAGCAGAACTGAACAGACTTGATTTATCGAAGCTTTCATCCAGTTGAAGGGTTCCGTAGTCATCCGGGTTAAGATGATTTCCATTATCTTCCGGTTTTATTCCCCAGAAGAGTTCTAGCCACATGCCACTATTCTGCTGTGAACTGGCAAATCTAAAGTAGCTTTTTTAGTTTAAGTGATAATTTTCAAGTGGATGTGATGAAGCAAACACTTGGAAGTTTCTTGTATTTGGTAGCTGCAGACCTGGTTTAACAAAAGTAACACACAGAAAACCAGCTGTAAGACACACAAAAAGGGCAATCCATAAATAACGTAACTTGATCACCACTTTGGGTAAACAATCTTCAAACACCTTTGAACTGGCTGTTTTGAAAAACCTTGTGGCTGATATTAACAAAGAACATGGAAAGTCAATGACTTGCAGAAAACAAATGTTTCTCTCATTTCGATTGATGGGACTGTTTACTTCAGGAATTATGATGTTGCTTTCTGACTTGACTTGTGCTACAGGTGCAGTAATCTGAAGTGACTGAACCGTCTCTCGCACCACCTCCAAGTTTTAATGTCCTGCTGTGTACTTCAACACCCACTTCTCGTGCAAAGCAACAACAGCTGGGAAATATGTTATCATCAGCAGGTAATTTGTAAAAATGGATGTTCCAGCAAACAGTCCAAACAACCTAATGGCAGTAATGGAGGAAGATACTCCAGCGAAAAATGCTGATGCTGTTGTCAAGCTTGTGACAAGCATGGAGAGGGCAGCGTAAAGCAGAGTTTTCAATGTCACCTGCATGATGTTTGCATGAGGATTAGCAGCACATGTCTGTCTCCATATGTCATAGTACACAAACGCATCATCGGCTCCAATGCCCACCAAAAACACCAGCGTAGTAACATTCAGAAAAGGAAAGAAGTCTATTTTGAATACCATTGTGTAAAGACAATATGAAAGACCAATTGCATAAATAATGCAAAAAAGGCCAGTGAAAGTGAGAATGAAAGAACCCAAGAAAAACCACATGATAAGGAAAACAAATATCATAGCCAGAGCAGGGTAGATGACCTCAGTGAGAAGTTTAATACGAAAAAGATCAAACTTGTAACCCATAAAATAAAAAGAAGCCAGTTTTATCCCTTCTCTTCCAGGGACACTATCTTTTAACTGCCCAAACAACTCATCATATAAGTCCTCCTCAGATAAGTCCTCACCAGACACTGGTGGGATAGATGATGTATATTTCAGAAACATATCATTGGATGGACTCATCTCATTGTCTGTTAGATACTGGAAAATATTGTACACTGCGTTGTATTTGGTGCAATTGGCTGGAACACCCTCACAGCTGGAAGAAGCACAGTTCTCCTTCAGGGTTTGTTTTACAAAGTAAGGGTGGCATCGAAGCAACAAATTCTTAACATAAGAAACATCCTGATCAGTTATGTCTTGGCATTTTGTGCGGTTATTAAGCAGAGCAATATAGTTTCCAAGAGAAAAGCTTGAGTAACACTGATATGTCATTCCATCAGAAATTCCGAGGCAGTCTTGCACATATAAGGAGCTGGCACTCAAAATAGAATTCTCTATTGCACAAGCATCTTTGAGCTTGCCTGCTACAAACAAATTTTCATTGCCACCTGATGCCTCAAAAACAAACATCATTCTTACATGCAGATCTGATGACAGTGGACGTTCAAGTGTGTTTTGAGATGATCGACGCTTTCGCTTTAGAGATGACAAGACATTGTTCTGCTGGCCTCCAGTTTGTGACTGGGGAGGTTGATATGACCAAACCCGAGGGAAGTCATAAAATTTTTTAATTGCCACCATCTTGTTACTGAGTTTTGTACCCCTTGGTTCAAAACCCTTGAAAAGAACAAATTACGTGAGAGAATCAATCAATCATACCTCAATAAGAGAGATGAAAGGGCTATGTTCACTAAATGACATTTAATGACTGATTAAATTCAATTGTATTCACTGTCAGCTTCACCCTTGAATCCAATATATAGTTCACAAGAAGAAATATGATGATCACCAATTCAAGAAGCTGCTGATTGTAAAAAAAAATTCTTGTCAATATCATAGGAAATGTAAAAAGAACAGTATGGAGAATATGAATATGAACTATTCAGGATTAGGTATACTGGGTTATTACAAGAACTTACAACTGACACAATTAATACTAACAGTAGGAGGATTTTAACTGATGGATAATTCATTCTTACCTTTATTGGGTCACTAAAGTCAGGCAATGGAGGGCCTCCCAGGGATGGAAAAACTGACACCAAAATAAGGATAATAACAGTGGCTGGAATGAGCAGGGCCAGGCACAGTGCTAAGGCATCATGCTTTGTAAACCTGGGTCTGAAAAACAAAAATTGATCACTAATAAAATAATTAATCACTGGCAACATCAACCGTTTAACTCCCATGAGTGACCAAGACAGAATTTCTCCTTACAATATCAATATAAATCAAGCAGACAAGAGATGAGAATAGAGAAAAATATCAGTTAGGGGATTATTAGCTGATCCAATTCCAGATTCTCAGAACTAACATATTAAGATTGGATGGTAACATTAAGGAGAATTACTAATGAGATCTTGGGAGTGAAACAGTTTTAATACAAGTAGTGATGTGAAGATTGCCAATTGAAAATTTATATCAATTAAACTATAAACAACAATCTTCCACTCATCAGAAGCTCGTCAAAGCTGTCTGCGTCTCCAGGGGCTGGTTGTTTACAGATATAATACCTGCATCAAAGTTAAACACCAAAAAAAAAAAGGTATCTACTTGAATGATGATGGCATGAAAATTCTAGCCTCGAGTTTTATAAGGCAGGCATTGAAAGTAAAGATCAAAGCAGGAAAACACAAGCGAGAGCGGGACCCGCTCTGGTTGCTAGCACAAACTCTGAAGAAGATAATCCGCACCTTGTTAGCAAGTTAGATTTAGACGGTCATTTCACATATGGCTGGTCTCTGTTAAACGCTGATGTGTTAAGTGAATTATCCAAAAATAGGGGTTTTAAGTTAGCTGCCCTTAACATTACTAATATTCCCCGCCATATCCAGGAATTGCGGATTTATATGAATTCAAAATGTATTGATATTCTTGCAGTTAATGAAACTCGTCTCAATGATACCATATCTAATGGGGAAGTTACAATACCAAGCTATGTCCTGAAGAGAAATGATAGAAATAGAGATGGAGGGGGTGTCACCTTTAATATCCTGAATACTATCAATTATGAATGCTTATTTGAACTTGAGTGGGAAAGCCTCGAGAGGAAATGGCATTAGGGTAATTCAACCCAAGGTTAAATCTTTTATTGTGAGTACGTGGTATACACCTCCACGTTCTCATGCAGACGCAATGAAGGATTTTGAACTTCTTGATCAGCAAATCAAATCGCTGGGGCTAGAGGTAAATATTTTGGGAGATTTAAATTGTAATGTGGCTGCTTACCCACTAAAATCACATACAAAGAATCTTCTGGAAATTTGCAACCTTTACCAATACCACCAGCTGATAAATGAACATACCGGTATCACTGAAAAAGCTGCGACTACTATTGATTTATTCCTAACAAATAACAAGGAAATTTTTTATGCATTCTGGGGTCTGTCACATTGGAATAAGTGACCATCCTCTTATCTATGGAGTTATACAATTTTATATTCCCAAAGGGAAACCAAAGATTGTAGAGTCGTGACAGTTTGGGAATTTTGATGCAAATTCATTCTACACCAACCTTTACTTAGCACCTTGGCACCTAGTTCATCTGGAAGTTAATCCAAATCATGCCTGGGAAATTTGGTCAGGTTTTTTTTGAGAAATGTGTGACTTCCATGCACCAAAACATAAAAGGAAAGTAAGAAATAATCATGCTCCCTGGCTAACACCAGAGATAAAAAGGATGATGTTTGAGAGGGACAAACTGAAAAGGGCTGCAATTATCAACAGTTCAGATGCTCATTGGACAGAGTATAAGATTGCTCGAAACAATGTTATTCTAATATCAGGAAAGCAAAAACTAACTACTATAAAAGATATTTCAAAACAAATCTAGGGGATATTAAGAAATCATGGAAAGGAGTAAATTCAATAGTAGGCCGAAGTTTACCAACTGAAATAAATAGAATAGATGTTGGAGATAACTCAGTACTACCCCATTAGAAATCTCTAATGCTCTTAATTATCACTTTACCCACATTGGGCCTAGGTTAGCCGATAACAGTCCCAAAACTAGTGTTTGTTTCGGGGACTATATTATGCCATCGGAGTCTAGTTTTACCCTGAATGAGACTCACTGCGGTGTTGTTCACCATTTAGTGAGTTCCCTTTGAGTCGACAGGGCTACGGGCATAGATGGTATTTTCTGCAAGGCTTTTGAAAGAAGCTTCTCCTGAAATCGTGCCTTCTCTCACCCATATAATTAACCTATCCATTAGGTGTGGGTATTTTCCTGACCAGTGGAAAATTTCCAAAGTATTACATCTATATAAGGAGGATATTAAGTCTGATCCTAACAACTATAGACCTATATCTATTCTACTAGTTGCCAGTAAAATAATTGAAAAGGTTGTTTTCAAACAAGTCTATGAATACCTAACTCGCAATAATTTTCTGACAGTACCGATGCATTCTACTTTAACTGCCTTGCTTAAGAAAAGCCTTTCATACGGTTGACCACAGCATATTGTTGAAAAAGCTGCTGCAGCTTTATGGTCTCGGCCCGCATGCAGTTCAGTGGTTCAAATCATACCTATCAAATCGCTTTCAGAGTACTTATGTAAATGGAACTCTATCAGACTATCTTCATGCCTTTAAAAGCACACACAACCCACAATTCCTCTATTTGCTCCGACGAAGGGCTAACGCTCGAAACGTCAGCTATTGTAATCGTTACGGTGGCCAATTTACCATTTCAACTTTGTTGATATATCCAAATTATTTTCGTTACTCCCACCAACGCAGCCCCAAACAGTTTCTTTCGAAACTATCAGCCTTTATCTTCCTGTTAGTTGGGGGGTCCCACAAGGTTCTGTACTTGGACCCTTGTTGTTTCTCATTTATATAAATGACCTACAAGAATGCAAGCTGTCATCATCTGCACTCATGTATGCTGATGACACCTCGCTTGCCCTTTCCGCTTAGGACCCCGCAACACTTGAAGAAAAGTCAAACAAAGACTTGGATGAGGTTCAAAAGTGGCTGAAATCCAATAAACTCACATTAAATGTCAAAACACAAAATATATGATAATTGGAAGCCACTACCAACTAAGGCATTTAAATGGTGACTTATACATTACTGTTAATAGTCAACAATTGACTCAGGTGACTAATTATACATATATGAGAATAGAGATTGATGAGGCATTGGGGTGGCAATCCCATGTAGATGCCATCTGTAAAACGGTATCTGCAGGTAAAGGGGCCTTAAAATGTATTCATTCCCTGGTGCCTCACCAAACCCTACTGAAAATGTATGATGCTTTAGTCGCTCCTTATTTTGATTATTGCTCCGAAGTCTGGGGATGTATAGGAAAAGGCCTGTGTGACAGACTCCAGAGATTGTAAAATAGGGCTGGGAGAATTCTAACATTTAGTGATTATAATACAAGATCTGTGGATATCCTCCAAGACTTGAGATGGGATACACTTGAGCAAAGATGCTCTAAACAGCTCGCAATTAGTGTTTTTAAATCTCTAAATGACTTTTACCGTGAGAGTTTAAAGAACATCTTTAAAGCAACCTCTGGGGTTCATTCTTACAATGTGCAAGGTGCCTCGAACAACATTTTTGTACTACAGCCCCATACTGAATCTGCTAAGCGGGCTTTTAGCTATAGGGGAGCAGTCATGTGGAATGGCCTAGAAAATGTGCTTAAAGATGAAATAAATCTCAACTCTTTCAAGTCTGCCCTGTCTTCTTGAACCATGCCTTGACGGAGTTGAGATTGAATTTACTTCAGTTATTTAATGTACCTTTAAGGTTGATTGATTCTTGTGTAATTAATTATAGGATAAATTTTCTTAATATATAGAAATATTTTAGCATCAATGTAGTTTCTTTCAAAAATTTTTGTTATGTAAACAGCCCACTGGAAGAGCATTTTTTAATGTTTAATGAAGTGATACCGTTAATAAAGCTTGATTGATTGATTGAGAAAGAAAGTATGAAACAAAAACACTCGAAAAATCTTAATTTCTTGTAATCAGGTTTCTTTGCCGCATCAAATAACCTGCTTCGTAGTCCATTACCCAACTAGTAGCTGGTAAGCACAGGTTTGAATCCTCGCAAAGTCTAAATGGTTTCAAGCTTTTTTGCTGCTATTTCTTTATGGGCAATCAACTGCGAGGATGACGTCTTCGTTTATACTGTCTCATAAATTATTGTAAAACTTATTCTAAATTCGACTTTATTTTTTACGCTCTACTTCGCGTAATTCACAAAGCAGGGGTCTGCATTATAGGTGGTTTGCAACAAATCTCTGGAGACACAGGTAACAATGGTGAAAGGAACAAATGCTGGTGGAC